GCCCAGGGGACAGTCCCTGCCCTGTGCCCACCCTGGGGCTGCCCCAGCCCAGGGCCATCGGCCCCCTGCCCCCCTGGCCCCTCTGGGCTCGTGTCCCCCCGGGCCTGTCCCAGCTTTCCAGCCCCTGTGCCCAGCCTGGAGCCCTTGGGCACCCCCAGGGCAGCTCCTGCCCCTCGGCCTGGCCGAGCCCTGGGGGGAGCCCCAGGTTTGGGGTGTGCGCTGAGGCAGAGCTCTGAGCTGGGCTGGGAACGTTCCCCAGGAACGTTCTGGAAGCCTCAGATCCCTCCTCTCCATCCTCGCTGCAAAACCAGAGCGGAACTGTCACCCTGAAATTACAGCCTGCAGATTGTATGGAGCATTGCATTCTAGATTGAATTAATTATTATATTCATAATTCTATTAATAATTATAATTATATAATACATATTATAATTATAATTATATGATATAATAATTATAATTATATTAATAATTCTATTAATAATTATAATTATATAATATATATTATAAATATAATTGTATAATATAATAATTATAATTATATTAATAATCTATTAATAATTATAATTATATAATATATATTATAATTATAATTATATTATATAATAATTATAATTCTATTAATAATCCTATTAATAACTATAATTATATAATATATTATAATTATAATTATATAATATTATAATTATAATTATATTGATAATTATATTAATAATTATAATTATGCCATATATTATAATTCTATAATATAATAATTATAATTATATTAATAATTATATTAAATATAAATATTATATTATTATAAAAGCATTATGGTACTATATTCTATATATTATATACTAATATTCCATATTATTATATACTGTATTTTATAGTATATACTATTATTATGTACAATATATTATACTATTATTATAATATATAGGATATTATCTATTATATACTATAAACTATATAATTGTATATACTATGATACACTATTATATATTATATAGATTATAGATAGACTATATATTATATTAGTATTATAGTATTGTATAGTATACATTATATACTAATATTATGTACTATTATATACTATATTATATAGAATGTACTATTATTATATACAGTATATTATACTATAATTATAATATATAGTATATTATATATTATATATTATATATTATATATTATATATTATATATTATATATTATATATTATATATTATATATTATATATTTATATTATATATTATATATTATATATTATATATTATATATTATATATTATATATTATATATTTATATATTATATATTATATATTATATAACTGTATATACTGTTATATACTATTACATACAGTATATATTATATATAATAGCATATACTATTATATAGTATTATATATATTATATATAGTATGTATTATAATAGTATTATAGTATTATATACTATAAAATATATTATATACTAATATTTTATACTATTATAATAGTATTATAGTATTATATACTATAAAATATATTATATACTAATATTTTATACTATTATATACTATGTTATGTAGAATATACTATTATTATGTACAGTATATTATACTATTATTATAATATATAGCATATTATATATTATAGTATATAATAGTATATTCTATTATATAGTATTATATATATAATATATATTATATATAATATATATATTATATTATAGTAGTATCATAGTATTATATAGTATAAAATATATTTTGTACTAATATTAAATACTATTATATATAGTATATAATACATTATATAGTATTATTATTATAGTATATTATATATAGTATATAATACATTATATAGTATTATTATTATAGTATATTATAGTATTATATTATTGTTTATAATGTTGGTAGTTTCGTTGTTCATTTTTCCTTTTTGCTTTTCTTTTTGTTAAACCAAAAAGGGTGAGATGGAGTATTGTATTTTATATTATATTATTTATTTTACTATATATTATATTATTATAATGGCATTATAGAATTATATAGTATATAATATATTACATACTAATATATTATATACTATATTATATAGTACACACTATTATTATGTACAATATATTATACTATTATTATAATATATAGTATATTATGTATTATATACTATATACTAGTATATACTCTGATATACTATTATATATATTTATTATATATATAATGTATTATATACTATATACTAGTATATACTCTGATATACTATTATATATATTTATTATATATATAGTATAAATTATAATAGTATTATAGTATTACATAGTATATATTACATTATATACTAATATTATATACTATTATATACTATATGATATAGTATATACTATTATTATTTACAGTGTATTATACTATTATTATAATATATGGTATATTATATACTAGATACTAAAAATAGTATATACTATTATATACTATTATATATATTATATTATATATATAGTATATATTATATATAATAGTATATACTATTATATATATTATATCTAGTATCTATTATCTATAATAGTATATACTATGATATACTATTATATATTATATAGATTATAGATATAGTACATATTTTAGTAGTATTATAATATTATATAGTATATATTATATACTAATATTATATACTATTATAGACTATATTATATAGAATATACTATTATTATATACAGTATATTATACTACTATTATAATATATAGTGTATTATATATTATATACTATATTCTACATAATAGTATATACTACTATATACTATATTATATATTTATAGTATATATTATATATAATAGTATATGCTATTATATAGTATTATATATATTATATTGTATATATAGTATAGTGTATATATAGTATATATTATAATAGTATTATAGTATTATAGTATTATAGTATTATATATAATATAATATAATATAATATAATATAATATAATATAATATAATATAATATAATATAATATAATATAATATAATATAATATAATATAATATAATATAATATAATATAATATAATATAATATAATATACTGCAAAGTTTCCATGGGCAAACTAAACCGAAATTCGAGTTTTTTGCTGGGGTCCCCAGCCCCCCAAACCCTGCAGGAGTCACCTGGTGAGGGCCAGGACCATCTCTGAGGACACGCTTGGGGACGGTGCCATCACCACCATGGGCTCCCCCAGCAGCATCAGCTCCCACAGCATCTGGATGTGGATCAGCACGGGCTGGAAACATCTGGATACACCGAGGGACAGAGCTCAGGATGGAGCTGTGCTCCCCCAGCCCTGCTGCCCCCCGGGAATTTGGGATCCGGGATGGACTTCCAGCATTCCACAGGGGATTCAGGTGTCTCCACCTGGGATGGAATTCCAGCATTCCAGGGGATTCAGGTGTCTCCACCTGGGATGGAATTCCAGCATTCCAGGGGATTCAGGTGTCTCCACCTGGGATGGAATTCCAGCATTCCAGGGGATTCAGGTGTCTCCACCTGGGATGGAATTCCAGCATTCCAGGGGATTCAGGTGTCTCCACCTGGGATGGACTTTCAGCATTCCACAGGGGATTCAGGTGTCTCCACCTGGGATGGAATTCCAGCATTCCAGGGGATTCAGGTGTCTCCACCTGGGATGGACTTCCAGCATTCCAGGGGATTCAGGTGTCTCCACCTGGACTCTCACTCGTTGCTTTTGTGCAGGTTTAAAGGAAATGCAGGTGGGGTCTCACCTGGGCACAGGGGCAGGGTCCCCCCTCCCCTGTGGGCTCAGCCCAGCCCTGGGGGGCTCTGGGCTGGCTCAGGTCACCCCCAGCACCCCCAAATCCCTGTCCCAGGGCTGCTCCAGGTTCCTGCCCAGCCTGGATTGAACCCAGGGCTGCCCTGACCAGGGTGCAGCACCCTGGACTTGGCCTTGTTACACCCCAGGAGGTTCATGGGGACAGATGTTGGGGACAGATGTTGTTACACCCCAGGAGGTTCATGGGGACAGATGTTGGGGACAGATGTTGTTACACCCCAGGAGGTTCATGGGGACAGATGTTGGGGACAGCTGTTGTTACACCCCAGGAGATTCCCGAGGCCAGATGTTGGGGACAGATGTTGTTACACCCCAGGAGATTCCTGAGGCCAGATGTTGCTCTCGGTGTGAGATCAGGACACCCCTGGACACCACAGGATGGACCCAGGAACGGCACATCCCGTGCTGGACGTGCCTGGGACACTCCCCTGGGGGATTTTGGGCAGCAGCTGCTCCCCAGCCCCTCGCTCAGCTCAAACCCAGAACCCCAGAGGAGCTCCAGGGACGCGGCAGTGCTGGATTCTGCAGCACCCCGAGATTTGGGGGATGCTCCCAGCAGGGAGAGGGGCAGAGGAGCCTCTCACCTGAACAGATCCAGCTCATGAACGCTGGGGAGGACCAGGGGCGCTGGTAGCAGGTTCTGGGGGAGGAAGGGAGACAGGAAAAGCTGTCAGCAGCTGGGAGGAGGCTGCAGCTCCAGCTGGAATCGCTGCCCAGCTCCCCCAGGGAACAAGGGGCTCACACCCTGCAGCTCCCCATCCCAAACCCATCCCAAACAGACCCCAAACAGATCCCAAACCCATCCCAAACCCATCCCTGTGCCTGCAGCTCCTCATCCCAAACCCATCCCAAACAGACCCCAAACCCATCCCTGTGCCTGCAGCTCCTCATCCCAAACCCATCCCAAACCCATCCCAAACCCATCCCAAACCCATCCCTGTGCCTGCAGCTCCCCATCCCAAACCCATCCCAAACCCATCCCAAACCCATCCCTGTTCCCACAATCCAAGGAAGGTTCCCTTCCCTTCCCTTCCCTTCCCTTCCCTTCCCTTC